TGTTAACTATAAATCCCAGCAACTACAACTCCCAAATGACAAAATCAACCCCTCCCCAAACCCCACCAGTATTCCAATTTGGACGTATTGGGTATTTGTGCCGAATTTGGTCCAGTGAATGAAAATACATTCTGGATATCTGATATTTATAATACAATTAATAACAGTAGTAAAATTGTATTGTTGAAGGCTTTCATGGCTGGAATCACTAGGTTCTTGTGGGTTTTTTTCGGGCTATAGGGCCATGTTCTAGAGGCATTTCTCCTGACGTTTCACCTGCATCTATGGCAAGCATCCTCAGAGGTAGTGAGTAGCAAAATTACAGTTATGAAGTAACAACAAAAATAAGTTTATGGCTGGGGGTCACCACAATATGAGGAACTGTATTAAGGGCTTGCGGCATTAGGAAGGTTGAGAACCACTGATCTACACTCTCAAATTAATGTCATTCACAACCACTTGAACTGCTTTCTGTAATGCCAAGGAATTATGGGAGTTGTAGTTTGGAGCAGCATTAGCACGCTTTGTCCCAGAAGGCTAGTAAAATGCCAACTCCACAGCACTGCACCATAAGGTTTGAGTATTCATTCCAATGGCATTCATTCTACAGTCAAAACATAACTTCTTAATTCATTGGTTTTGCTCAATTTGCACACATGCTGTGGTAGGTATTTTATTTCAGATCAAAGAATTATAGAGTGGAAGAAACCTCCAAGGGCCATCCAGTCCAAACCCTTTTCTGCCATGAAGGGAAAGCATAATCAAAGCATCCCTGACAGATTGCCATCCAGTCTCTGTTTAAAAGTCTCCAAAGAAGGAGTCTCCACTGGGCTCTGCAGCAGTTTAGGAAGGAAGTTCTTCCTAATGTTCAGGTGGAATGGTTTTATCTGATCTTAAATCATAGGGGGCAAATGATTAGTAGAATGTGTCCTTGGTACTTATTGTCCTGAATGGATTTTATGCACGGCGCTCTGATGCAATGACTCATAATAAATCCTGAGTTACAGGAGTTGAATAAAAGCGGAATTGTGGATTCAGGTGCTGAGTTGGCCAGAACATTTTTTTTCTGACTCCTTTCACACACCTGGATTAAAAAAAAATCAGAAGAATGAATCATGATCCAGATCTCTAGCAACACAATGAACTGTGAAAGTAGGGGCACTTCATTTTAAACCAGAGTTTGGCAACACAGCCTCTCTCTTTCGTAAGAATACAACGCCCAGTATCCCCAGGCTGCAGAGCATTCTGGGAACCTTAATCCCCCAAAGTAACTTTTCCGACTGCATCCGAAGAAGAGCCTTTCTCCCCACTTGACGCCCAAATGTTCAAACATCCATTCCAACTATTGTCTTTCTCAAATATTTCCTATCCATTTGGAAGAGGAAGGGGAAAACTATGACGGGTCTCCAGAAACATTTGGAAACAGGATGAACCAAGTCACAGATGCTTCCTGAAAACATTAAAGCCCCAAAAGAATCGACAACTTGGATGTCAATATTTTCCCAAACATGAACTCGCCAGGAGTCAGATGTTGACATAGGGATGATTTTCGAGCTTGCCTTTCCAAGCCTGGGACCCTTTTGAGTCTTTGTGAAAACACTGTGAAAATGATATGAAAATAATTAGAGAGAAAGAGAGCTAGAGGAAGAAAGAGACAGGGAGAGAAATAGAGAGAGAGAGAGATCAGAGAGAGAGAATAGAGAGAGAGATGGAGAGATGGAGAGATAGAGATAGACAGATCGATAGATAGATGAGAGAGTGATAAGTGAGAGACAGAGAGATGGATAGATAGATGAGAAAGAGAGAAAGAGAGAGAGAGACAGAGAGAGAGATAGAGAGAAAGAGAGAGATAGAAAGAGAGAGAAAGAGAGATGAAGAAAGAGAGAGAGAGAGAGTAGAGACAGAGATAGAGACAGAGAGATAGAGAGATAGAGATAGACAGACAGATAGATAGATGAGAGATTAGAGAGAGAGAGACGGAGAGATAGATGAGATAGAGATAGATAGATAGACGAGAGAGATTAGAGAGAAAGAGATTAGAGAGAAAGAGAGAGATAGAAATATATAGAAAGAGAGATAGAGACGCAGAGAGAGAAATAGAGAGAGAGATTAGACAGGGGGGCAGAGAGAGAGAGAGAGAGATAGATAGATAGATAGATAGATGAGAGAGAGATTAGAAAGAGAGAGAGAGACAGAAAGAAAGAAAGAGAGAGAGAAAGAGACAAGGAGAGAGAGAGAGAGGAGAGACAGAGAGACGGACAGATAGAGATAGACAGATAGAGATAGACAGACAGACAGGCAGATAGATAGATAGATAGATAGATAGATAGATAGATAGATAGATAGAGAGACAGAGAGACAGAGAGACAGAGAGACAGATGATAGATATAGATAGATAGATGAGAGAGAGAATTAAAGAGAGAGAGAGATTAGAGAGAAAGAAAGAGATAGAAAGAGAGATAGAAGCACTGAGAGAGAAATGTGTGTGTGTGTGTGTGTTTTATGTCGTTGGTGGCCCTTCATCCACTGAAAATGTGGTAAGACTCCACTTATGCATGTCACAGCAATTCAATAGCGATGCCCATCTTGTTGAAGCCAACCCAATGGGTCGAAGGCTGAAAAACAACAGGATATACATACAAATAGCAGGATTTGAACCTGACGAAAGCCCTCCGGCTGAGATTAGTAACCGGATAACCTGCAAAGAAGTGACTCACCCTTCCTCCCTCCCACCTCCCTCCCTCTCCTTTCGAGATGACAATGACAACAACTGGCACAGCTGTCAGGGCCAGTTTAGATGATGCCAGGCTAATATACTCAAAGCATATTTGCAGCCCACTTTCCTCTGAATATAGCTCTTTATCTCTATGAAAGAGACACCTTTTTATCTAGGGCACTATGGACTCTATACGTCACTCTTTTGAAGCGCTTTTGCATTTATTAATTTGGCAGGCCTTCCTTCTCAGCACAACATCGTGCATATGAAACAGTACCATCTCCTCTTCGTTACAAGAAGTACTGATGGTTGGACAATCCTTTATGTTGGCTAGTGGGAAATAATGCTTCCCAGTTTAGGTCCCCTGTTAGGCAATGTCTGTTTTGCTTATATGAGCCTTCTTCAGCTTGACAGGAGTCAGATGAGTGTCAAGGCAGTGGTGCATTGGCAACCCAGTCCTTCAACTTGGGCCTGGCTTAGATGGAAACCCATTTGAGCTACACTCCTTGATCTCTCATTGCTTCTGAATTATTAAAAGCAGAGGAGTACCAGGGAGGTGGTAAGTTGGCAACCCAGCCTTCAAATGGAGAACCCGGCTTGGCTAGAAACTCATTGGCATCCCTCCCTTGGCTCTCACTGGCTTTTGAATGCTTGAAAGGCATAAGAGCATTAGGGAGGTGCTTTCTGGCAACTCAGCCCTTCAACTGGAGAACCTAGCTCATCTAGAAACCCATTAGAGCCACACTCCAGATCTTGTCTTAGCTTGTGAATGCTTAAAAGCAGAGGAACACTACCGAGGTGGTACACTGGCAACCCATCCCTTCAACTGGGGAACCTGGCTTGGATTAAAAACCCATTGAAGGCCCACTTCTGAATCTGTCCTTGCTTCTGAATGATTAAAAGCAGAGGAGTGGTACACTGGCAACCCAGCCCTTCAACTGAAGAGGTTGGCTTGAATGGAGACCCATTGGTGTCCCTCCTTTGACTTGCAGAGGCTTTTGAATGCTTAAAGGTAGAGGAGCACCAGGAAGGTGGTACGTTGGCAACCCAGCCCTTCAACTAAAGAGCCTGTTTGGATAAAAACCCACTGGAGCTACACACTTTGATCTGTCCTTGCTTCTGAATGGTTAAAAGCAGTGGAGCACTTGGGGTGCAGTACGTTGGCAACTGGGCCTTTAACTGGAGAACCTGGCTTGGATTAAAAACCATTTGGAGCCACACTCCTTATCCTATCTTAGCTTTTGAATCCTTAAAGGCAGAGTACACCATTGACATGGTACGTTGGCAACACGGCCTTGAACTGGAGAACCTGGCTTGGCTAGAAACCCATTGGAGCCACACTCTTAATCTCGTTTTATGAACGCTTAAAAGCAGAGGCGCTCTAGCAAGGCGGTACACTGGCAACCCAGCCCTTCAACTGGAGAACCTGGCTTGGATCAAAAACCCATTGAGGTTCCACTTCTTAAGCTGCCTGACCTTTTGAATGATTAAAATCAGAGGAGCACCAGGGAGGCAGTACATTGGAAACCCAGCCCTTCACCTGGAGAAGCTGGCTTGGCGAGAAACCCATTGGAGCCACACTCCTTAGCTGTCTCAGCTTCTGAATGATTAAAAGCAGAGGAGCACTGGGGGGGAGGTACGTTGGCAACCCAGCCCTTCAGTTGGAGAGCCTGGGTTGGCTAGAAACCATTGGAACCACATGCGTTAACCTGTTTTAGCTTGTGAATGCTTAAAGGCTGAGGAGCACCAGGGAGGCGGTACGTTGGCAACCCAGCCCTTCAACTGGAGAGCACCTGGAGGACGGCACCTTGGCAACCCAGCCCTTCAACTTGAGAAGCTGGCTTGGCTAGAAACCCATTGGAGCCACACTAATTAGCTTCTCAGCTTCTGAATGATTAAAAGCAGAGGAGCACAAGGGAGGCGGTACGTTGGCAACCCAGCACTTCAACTGGAGAGCCAGGCTAGGCTAGAAACCCATTTTTGTAAGCCGCCCTGAGTCCCCCCTCGGGGGTTGAGAAGGGCGGGGTAGAAGTACTCGAAATAAATAAATAGACCACACTCCCTATCCTGTCTTAGCTTGTGAATGCTTAAAGGCAGAGGAGCACCAAGGAGGAGGTACGTTGGCAACCCAGCCCTTGAACCGAAGAGCCGAGCTTGGCTAGAAACCCATTGGAACCACACGCCTTATCCTGTATTAGCTTGTGAATGCTTAACGGCAGGGGAGCACGGGGAGGGCGGTACGTTGGCAACCCCTCCCTTCACCTGGTCGCGGGCTGTGTCTCACCTGAGGACGCGGAAGAGGAGGCAGGCGACGAGGGCGGCGCTGGCGGCACAGGCCCCGACCACGGCGGCCTTGAGGGCGGGCAGGTCCCGCAGCAGAGCCGAGACCGGGCTGAGCAGGGCTCCGGATCCGGAGTCGCTCCGGTTTCCAGCGGGAGGAGGCTCCGAGAAGGCCGGCCTGGCGTCGGCGGTGGCGTTGGAGGGCGCGGGGGGCACCGCCGACGAGGCCGGGAGGAGGAGGAAGGAGAAGGAGAAGAGGAGGAGGAGGAAGGAGAGCATCCTGGCCCCCGACGAAGGAAGCGAGGAAGGAGGGATGGAAGGAGGAAAGCGCACCAGGAAGAGGGATGGATGGCTGGCTGGCTGCTGCTCGCTCCGCTTCGGCTCCGGATCAGAGACGCAGGGAGGAGGAGCCCGAGGGGAGGAGCCCGGGCTGCGTCTGCACCTTCGACTTGAAACACTTCCACCCCGCGAGCAAGGAAGTCAGGCAACACAGAACATAAGGCCATCGCTTCCTTTGTCACTGTGCTCTTGCACAACGAAATTACTATCTTTCAGTCTGTTTCATAGAGCTCTGAGGATGACTTGGGAAGGAATCCCACTGGAGCATTGCAGCGCACCCAAATACCTGGGAGTCACTCTGGACCATGCTCTTACCTACAAGAAGCACTGCCTGAACATCAAGCAAAAAGTGGGTGCTAGAAACAATATCATACGAAAGCTGACTGGCACAACCTGGGGATCACAACCAGACACAGTGAAGACATCTGCCCTTGCGCTATGCTACTCTGCTGCTGAGTACGCATGCCCAGTGTGGAACACATCTCACCACACTAAAACAGTGGATGTGGCTCTTAATGAGACATGCCGCATTATCACAGGGTGTCTGCGCCCTACACCACTAGAGAAATTACACTGCTTAGCCAGTATTGCACCACCTGACATCCGCCGGGAAGTAGCAGCCAATAGTGAAAGGACCAAGGCAGTGACATCTCCAGCTCATCCCCTGTTTGGGTATCAGCCAGCACGTCAATGACTTAAATCAAGAAATAGTTTTCTAAGATCTACAGAGACACTCGCTGGAACACCTCAGCAAGCGAGAGTCCAAAAGTGGCAGGCTCAAACCCAGAACCTCAACCAATGGCTGATACCAAATGAGAGACTCCTCCCTGGGCACACAGAGGACTGGGCGACTTGGAAGGCACTGAACAGACTGCACTCTGGCACCACAAGATGCAGAGCCAATCTTAAGAAATGGGGCTACAAAGTGGACATGACATGCGAGTGTGGAGAAGAGCAAACCACTGACCACCTGCTGCAATGCACCCTGAGCCCTGCCACATGCACAATGGAGGACCTTCTTGCAGCAACACCAGAAGCACTCCAAGTGGCCAGATACTGGTCAAAGGACATTTAATCAACTACCAAGCTTGCAAACTTTGTTTTGTCTGTTTGTTAATAAATTGTTTAAAATGTAATACAATTGTCTGGTTGATATTGACATGATAAATAAATAAATAGAATCCTAGAGTTGGAAAAGACCTGGTGGGCCAAGAAACAGGAAAAATACCTTCAAAGCACCCCTGACAGATGGCCATCCAGCCTCTGCTTCAAAGCCTCCAGAGAAGGAGCCTCCACCACACTCCAGGGCAGAGTGAGAGGAGGGGGGTGTTCCACTGCTGAACAGCTCTCTCTGGTCCCTTCCACACAGCCCTATATCCCAAAATATCTGTTTTGGACTGGGTTATCTGAATCCACGCTCAAATAATGTGGGACTTTCTTCCTTGATATTCTGAGATTTAGGGCTGTGTAGAAGAGCCCTCGCACCATCAAGAAGTTTTATTAACTTTATACCCCGCAAAATCTCCCGAAGGACTCGATGCGGCTTACAAAGGCCATAGCCGCTAACAACAACAACATACAATACACAGTAAAACTCATAAGCAAATAATAAAACATCAAGCAAACAATAAAGCAATGATACCGTGACGCAATCAAAAACCTAGAGGCCGGGCCAAGTGTAATGGACAAAATTTAAAAGTGCTGAGCCTGACAGGTCATATGTAGAGGTATTTGGAGGTAGGTGCAATGTGCAGATAATCCTGAATCTCTAGCAAAGTGCATTTGGGACTTGAAGCCAGGAGTTTCCTATTCTGGAAAGGCACACTGGAACAGCCAGGTCTTCAGGCTCTTCCTAAAGACAGCCAACGTTGGGGCTTGTCTGATGTCCTTGGGGAGAGAGTTCCAGAGTCGGGGGGCCACCACAGAGAAGGCCCTGTCCCTCGTCCCCACCAAACGCGCCTGCGACGCAGGTGGGATCGTGAGCAGGGCCTCTCCAGATGATCGGGTTCGTAAACGGAGATGCGGTCACGCAGGTAGGCAGGTCCCAAACCGTTTAGGGCTTTGTAGGTGAGTACCTGCACCTTGAATTGGGACCGGAAAATGAACGGCAGCCAGTGGAGCTCCTTGAACAGGAGGGTTGACCTCTCTCTGTAAGGAGCACCAGTTAACATCCTGGCTGCCGCCCACTGGACTAGCTGAAATTTCGAGCCGTTTTCAAGGGCAGCCCCACGTAGAGCGCATTACAGTAGGCCAATCTAGAGGTGACCAAAGCATGGACCACCCCAGCCAGATCAGCCTTTACAAGGTAAGGTCGCAGTTGGCGCACGAGTCTCAATTGTGCAAAAGCCCTCCCGGACACCGCCAACGCCTGAGCCTCAAGCGTAAGTGATGAATCCAAGAAGACTCCCAAACTGTGGACCTGTGACTTCAGGGGGAGTGTAACCCCGTCCAGCACAGGTTGCCACCCAATACCCCGATCTGGTTTTTGATCGACCAGGAGGACCTCTGTCTTGTCGGGATTGATCTTCAGCTTGTTCCTCCTCATCCAGACAGCCACAGCGGCCAGGCACTCGTCCAGCACTCGAGGGGCTTCCTTGGAATTAGGTGGAAAGAGTAGTAGAGTTGTGTGTCATCTGCATAGAGATGGCACCCAACTCCAAAACTCCGGATGACCTCTCCCAGCGGTTTCATGTAGATGTTAAAAAGCATGGGAGATAAAATAGAGCCTTGCGGGACCCCACAGGTCAAAGGCCAGGGGTCCGAGCAGGCATCTCCCAGCTTCACCTTTCATGTTCCTGCAGACTATTTCAGCCAGAGAAATCAGCCATAGCAGAGCACCTGATGAACCAACCTGGACACAGCATTTTATTTGAGAATACAAAAATGCTGGACCACTCTCACAACCACCATGTCAGACTACACAGAGTCGCCACTGAAATACCCAAACATGTGGACAATTTCAACAGAAAGGAGGAAACCATGAAAATGAACAAGATCTGGCTAGTGGCTACCAGTATTAAAAAATTCTAAAATTGCAACAGCAAAAACAGCAGAGAGGAAACAGGCAGGGACATCTAATTACCTTTCAAGAAGAGTTTGCTTCAGGCACAGTCAGCCCATTGTATGCTAATCAAGGTGGTCAGTTGAAAGATTCACACCTAACCCAACTGACAAAAGTCCTTTGTTTCACCCTGGTCATTCCACAGATATATAAACCCTTTTTCCCAGTTCCAACAGACCTCACCTCTGAGGATGCTTGCCATAGATGCAGGAGAAACGTCAGGAGAAATGCCTCTAGAACATGGCCATATAGCCCGAAAAAACCCACAAGAACTTAGTGATTCCAGCCATGAAAGCCTTCGACAATACACAGACATGTGCTTTTCACCTTAAGAACAAACAAGTATCCCGAGCTCTGAGGATGACCTGGGAAGGAATCCCACTGGAGCATTGCAGTACACCCAAATATCTGGGAGTCACTCTGGACCATGCTCTGACCAAAAGAAGCACTGCCTAAATATCAAGCAAAAAGTGGGCACTAGAAATAATATCATACGAAAGCTGACTGGCACAACCTGGGGATTACAACCAGACACAGTGAAGACATCTGCCCTTGCGCTATGCTACTCTGCTGCTGAGTATGCATGCCCAGTGTGGAACACATCTCACCACACTAAAACAGTGGATGTGGCTCTTAATGAGACATGCCGCATTATCACGGGGTGTCTGCACCCTACACCACTGGAGAAATTACACTGTTTAGCTGGTATTGCACCACCTGACATCCGCCGGGAAGTAGCAACCAATAGTGAAAGGACCAAGGCAGTGACATCTCCAGCTCATCCCCTGTTTGGGTATCAGCCAGCACGTCAATGACTTAAATCAAGAAATAGTTTTCTAAGATCTACAGAGACGCTGGAACACCTCAGCAAGCGAGAGTCCAAAAGTGGCAGGCTCAAACCCAGAACCTCAACCAATGGCTGATACCAAATGAGAGACTCCCCCCTGGGCACACAGCAAACTGAACGACTTGGAAGGCGCTGAACAGATTGCGCTCTGGCACCACGAGATGCAGATCTAACCTTAAGTAATGGGACTACAAAGTGGAACCCTCGACATGCGAATGTGGAGAAGAGCAAACCACTGACCACCTGCTGCAATGCAACCTGAGCCCTGCCACATGCACAATGGAGGACCTTCTTGCAGCAACACCAGAGGCACTCCAAGTGGCCAGCTACTGGTCAAAGGACATTTAATCAACTACCAAGCTTGCAAACTTTGTGTTTTGTTTGTTAAAAATGCAATGCAACTGTCTGGTCTGCCACTGACACGATAAATAAATAATGGGAAAACTTCATTAAACTGTCAAAACTTTGTTCTTGTAGGAGAGACATCCTGCTGCGATAGTTTTTCAATGACTATCTCAGAGAGTCTCAACCAGTTCAACCAAGTCTGTGCCACAAAAACTAAGTTTCTGGAGTACAACTACTGCACAATTAAACAGGAATAATTACACTTTCAAACCAGAAACAGAATATTTTTTAAATAGTGTGGTCAGCAGAAATGGGACCTAATCTGACCCATCTGCACTGCCCACTTGGAACAATTTGATCCCACTTTTACTGCATTCCCCCCATTCTATGGGAATTTAGGGTGCATCTACACTAATGGATTCATGCAGTCTTGGCACCACTTGAGCAGCCATGGCTCAGCACTCCAAATGCTTTCAGTTGTGCAAACTGTGTTAGCCATGTGGCTTCGCTTTGATGTGAAAAAAGGTCATCTCTTAAGATAGCTCTCTTGGCCAATACAAATATTGGCTGTTGTTCAAGGTGAAATGGAGCGGAACAACTACAAAAAAGGAAGAGGAGTTTAGAAGGGAAGGGAGAACAAGGGGAGATCTAGAGACTCCAAAATAAATCTGGGAAGGATAGTCTATCCAGCTCCACTTTGGGTATGTCAACGGTGTAGAGTTATCACAGTTTTACAATGATCTTTAGCCTTCCTCACCAAAGCATATGAACTACATCTCCCACATGTCCGTAGCATTAAAGTCATGTCAAACTGCATTCATTCTACAATGTAGA